GCGTTCAAGAGTTCTTCGTTTGAGTATCACATCAGTTAGTGATCATGCAATGGAAGTGCCAGCTAAGCTTAAGTACACCCACTACTGTATGCAGGAACAGCAGTCACCGGTCTTGAGAGCATCTGGTTTGTCCTCAAACGTGCCACGGCACCCGTCCTGTTTTTTTTGTTCCGAACGAAGACACCGACTACCAACGCGTTACCATCGCTCATTGGTCAACGCTTTGCTTCTACCCTATCGATTCACTCGCTGCCAAACTGAACAGCCGAACGGCCAGGGCCGGGTATTGATTGAGTGAGCATGGCGGACACGCCTAACACGTGCCACTGTTTGGTTAGCCACGTCTCGCTGTAGCGTTGTCTCAAGCCAAAGCAAACAGCAGGTACTGCAGCAAACTCAATGGTATATTGCAGGTAAAAAGCAAATGATTAACTAGTCCCTTGGGATGGCCGGAATGAGAAGCATGGAAGGGAGAAGAAAATATAGTGATAAAATGAAAAGCGTTTTGATGGAATCACCATAATATTTACACTGAGGCATGTGTGGAAGGGCCTGTCTCGTATGTGTAGGTTAAAGGTTGTTAGTGTATCGTTTCCACATTGTATCGTATAGCGATGCATATAAGCTATATTCCGCATAAACGCGATTTTTAACCACAAAGTGGGGTCAGAAAGAACGGAATTAGGGCGGTCCAGGGCTGGCAAACACGAAGGCAGTAGAGTTTTGGCGACATTCCAGCCGAATGTATTGCGTGACCACCTTGAATTGGTGGCCTCTCAGGTTCGTGTTGCTAAGTTGCAGTGGATGACGGCAGACGTGATTGGGGTTCCTGAGAATATGGTAGGCTATTATTAGGTCGACACGTAGGCGCAGTCAAAGTTGATATAGAAGGTGGAATAATCCTTTGATCTGTTTGGTGGCTCTTCACTGTAGTCCCGAACGCTGTGAAATCTTGCTTGTGCCAGAGCTGCTAGGCTTGGATAGCGTATTTCACATGAAGCCGCACTTATGCGGTAAGTATTTGGGAATAGCCACACGAATCTAACCGCCCGAATACACTCCGTAATATAAAAAACGTGTTGTTACCCAGTCTTTGATGCTAACCGACCTGAATTAGTATCCCAAATTTGCGCTCCCAAGTGACTGAATGATTGCGGCCCCACCTACAGTCGGACGAATTAAACTGGAGCAAATTGTGGAATGACCATTCATACGCATTCTCCGGGCCTCGTTGAACAGAATCGTAATCTCCTTGGTTGGTGATGGTGCCTCAATTGCTAGAGATAGAGCTTTCGATCCAAGGGGCTCTATACCTGCTATCTTACATTAGCTGTGTTCCTGGACTACAAGAGTGCGTTGAATTTAGTGGATCGATGCATTCTGATTGAACTACCTGTGCAGAAAGGTGTCCCTATGAAGTATGTGAACATTTTATGCGCGATGTACTCAAACACCAGGCCACATCAGGGTAAGGTGGTTTATCATATATCTTTCCGAAAACAAGTGGCGTTCGTCAGAGTTGTCCAATTTTCCCGTTTGTGTGCAACTTTGTCGTGGGCTCCTAGTGTTCCTTTTCCGATTCTCAAGATTCAGGCGTTGAGGCACCGCCAAGGGAAAAGTTAGTTGATCCTTCCACTCCCTCCACTTAGTTGATCCTTATTATGCGAATGATATTATCCTACTTTAACAATGTTGGGGCTGGCCAATCAACCCTGAACAACCTCAGAAGAGCGGTCCTGTCATTAGACATGCGCTTCCCACTTTCAAAGTGCAGAATGTTGTTACAGGACTACCAGTCACTTGGTGTCTCCTTGACTCATGATAGCGAGGAACCCGAGGTAGTTGGTCATTTCACTTACCTGAACATCGACATGAGCAAGGATGGGTCATAACGACTGAAGTCAGTTCGCGTATTGCAAAAGCCAAAGCTGTCTGATTGAATCTGTGACACCTTTGGAGTCAGGAGTTAGTCTCGGTGTCAAAAGCCGCGTTCACAAGGTCACAGGAAGGGCCATCCTAATGAGGGCGATACTTCACCTCATCGATTTGAGGACCCGCGGTGCCTTCAAGTCTTTGATTATTGCAGTCTGCGAAGCGTTGCTGGTGTCGGATTACACCAGCATGTCCGCAACGATCATGTACGTGGGTAAGTACTAAGTATTGATAACCAGGCCAGTTCCTTAGAACAACAGGCAGCACTGAATAAGTTGCGTTCGCTTTGCTACGTACTACGAATGCCCGGCCACCGATCATCAGAGGAGAGCCTTGTCATGCTGTAGATGTAGGCTGGCGCAAGACCCGAGGTGTGCAAAAGTTAATGTGACATCGGGAAATGAAGTCACTGATGACCGAACTGGGTGCCGTCGGACCGTCTTGCCTTCCACGCTGGAGTCCACGTGACCCGCCTTGCGCTTGGCTTGAGAGGTTACAGGACGTGGCTCGCATTCGACACAAGTGGCTTGTCTGCTGCCGTCTCCTAATCGGACTGCCTGTCTAGTGTATTTGCTTTTGAGTTATCTGCGAGCTGATTATGACGCGGAGCAACTTAAGCCGCAAGGAAACTGTCTCATCATGCCGCCTTATCTTTGCAAAACAGCCTTCTGTTTGCGACGGTTTGTTGACAAGATGTAGGCGCCTTGACCCTGAGTAAGGGATTTAAGATTTTAAGGTAGATCCCTCTTATTGTTCTTCGTCCTGTTGGTCACCGTGGTTGCACGGCGGCGAAGCATCACTTCAAATGACTGGTGTACTTCTGTTGATGCTGACGCCGGTTGGCGATCGCCCGCCACATCTTAACACCATCAGCGTAAAACAATAAATCCAAGGCGATCAGACGGGCAACCTTGTTATGAAAACTAGAAACATACCTGATGTGTACATTGACAGTCGAATGATTGAGAAAGTGGCACGATATTCGTAAATAAAGTTGATTATAACTGGACTCAGTGATGCAGCTATCAGGATACGGAAAAGCTCTGGGCAGGCATTTCGTTTAGGGAGTTGTCGATTGTACGAATTCCCTCTGTTTAGTTATGGAATAGAGGCACTGTCTAAATTAATACAATCAAAGCACTGAGCCTCGTTGACTCATGGTTGGTAACTTAGTCGCCGGCATCTGTTACGATTCAGGTATCCAGCCTCTCACCGGGTTGCGTACTACCAGCACGTTCCGAAAGATCGAATCGGTCCTCCTGCACTCCTCTGAAAGTCGGTCACACTGCATGGATTAGTAATCAGTTCACTACCGATAACATCTTGCTGAAATGCACTGCATTATCAACTAGGTGGAAAGTGTTATTTTGCTCAAGACAATCCCAAATTAATGATTAAAATCTAAATGGTGCTAACCTGGTGCCCCGGGTGACAGGAACAAATAAACACCCTAAAGCCCGATCAGAGAGAATGCGGTCTGTTACCCCCACTTTGAACCTCACGAACTGCGAGCAGACGATAGTCGACAGTTGTACGTGTGACCTATTCGACCACTGACGATAGACCTAGGTCCCTTTCTGTGACTAAGAACAACTCGCGTTCCCTTCCCAGATTAGGAGCATCTAGCCAACAGAAAACAAACTAGGAAACAGGTATACTCACCTGTACCTGACTCACCAATTTCGACGATTTAATGGAGCACTTCCACGTCATCTTACTTCAACCAAAGTCAAGTGACTGAATTGCTTGGGAAAAAGCGTACAGAAGTAATGCACTTGATATGTATCTGCTCTCTAGACTGCATGTAACGGAATCCTAAAAAGGGTCTAGGTTCCGTCTTCTACATCATGCGATAACGCTGAACTTAGCAACTTTGTCCTAAACTGTCCCAGAAGTAGATATCGGAAAACAGTTAGATGAACTGGTCGCATTTCAGGGCTTGTACATGTCACAGGAAATTACCGAGCTACACACAATGTGGGCTCTAGGCACCAATCCACCAACCACCTTTATTACCAACGGTAGGGGATGTACGAAAGCATCTAAAACGACGCATATGAGTCACCCACAACATGTTCGTGGATAACCGAGGAAATAGGCGAGTTCATGGTCCATACATTTAAGTTCGAAAGTATGCGACAGTTGACGCAGCAGAGTCCCAGTACTGGCTCCGCAATGCCTACAGTGCTGAAGCAACATTGTTTCCATGTCATAGTGGGTTTCAGCCGCAAAAGGCGGAGTGTTGACTCCGACAGACATGTGGTATCTTGTGACCGTCACCTGTAGCACCATAGGATGTAGTCCAACCTGTGTACAGACGAAGAAGAAAGTGAAGAAATTGAGGTCATGTATCGGTAATACGTGTAGCACCTATGCCCCTTGGTCGGTTTAAAGCCGTGTTGACGACTTAGTCCCATCTTCCTACAGCTATGTCACGAATGACCACTTGGTCGTGACTAAACGTTGCTGTTTGCTCTACCGTACTTGCGCATGCTGTACTGGCGAGGCGTGTCCAGCTTGCGAGCATCCCTGTGTGTTTCCAGCAAGAGAGTGCAGATCCTCACCATCTTAAGGTTGCCCGAAATTCCCTGAGTTCACAGTATGTTAAGTGGAAGCGAAATTGTTGCGCGGTTAACTCAATCACTGGATCTCACCTGGTTGCCTCGAAGCATAGAACTTCTCTTATAGCATTCTACGAGTCATTGCCTTAACGTTAACATGCTTTGGGTAGAAACTTTTCTTCAAAATAACATACCACAATCCTTGTTCAAATAATGTCTTGCTAGACATGCGAGGGCACGTTGTGACTATTAATTAATATAATGCGTCCAGCGGCCGATTGCTCACTTAATAATATTCATGGTCCGTTGTTCAGTTCACGCTGCTCTCTCCACTAAGTTCCAAGGTCAAACGTAAGTGACGCAAACAGTGCCTGAACAAGTTATTCAGCCTCGGAAGCAGCTGGGTTACCACCCTAACCTAATTTTAACTGGAAAATATCCGAGCCGCTTTGTGTTATCAGTAAACAAGTCATCCTTACTTATTTTCTGCCCTTTCCTCCTGACCAGAGTGAATCCGCTGAACATTACCTGACACCGGAATCCGATGAAGTTACGGTGGAGATGTTGCAACAGTAAGTCTTGTGTTGATGGAATCTCACAGCTGAAACAGTTAACTGACTATGTGAACTTTGAGGAAATGCTCTAGTCTCCGTGCTCATGCGCTCAATAGTGACGTTGTCCACAGGAAGAAGACGCCTAAACTCCGGGTACTGAGAAGGTGCACCATGTCAAAGAACTGTAGAGTTAGGTATCCGGTGCTGGATTGAAGACATATAAATAAATAAATTTATTCTCGAATTCTTCGAGGCACATCAATTCAGGCATGATCAAAATTTACAAGCATTTATGTTTCGCAACAGACATGTTGCTATGCATGTAATCGGCTGTGGCCAAAAGTTGTGCAAGTTGCAGAAATGGAAGTACTTTGAGGAACAAAGTCGTCAGTGAGTTGACGATAATTTGGGATCAGGTGGGCGTAAACACTAAGAACACCGTAAGTGAAGTGGTGACGATATGTGCAGACCGAGAGTATCTTTTTATAGTACGTTTCGTGAAAATAATGAAATATGACTCTAGTCAACTTGCCAGTGTGTACTTTGGATAGTGAGTTTATTCAGTAGCGAATCATATCTGCCACATCGCAGTGTTGTCAATCGGATTTTTGTGGCTTTTTATAGAGAGAACGCTTGCCAGGCGAAAACCCACCACTTCCTGGAACACTGTCGTCGATTCATTTAAACGGTAGTGTGCAAATGGCAAATCATCTCATATACCGATTGTTCAGAAAATCATCACAAGTTCACACACTCAGTGATACATTTCTGACTCTTTTATGTTGAATCACTTACACATATTTTCGGTGGGCCAAAACTCCACATCAAAGTATTTGCAACCTAATACATCAACGTGTTTCAACATTCAGATGGATAACACCATTTTATACAGCAACATTGGTGAGTTCTCCAGCACCCCTTTCAGTGTACCTAATTCCGAGAATCATTCGACATGGATATGTAGAGCCGTAAAATAAGTACGGGATTCTTCTGAATGCCACTGGCAGACCTTCATGATTTGGAGTATGCTGACGATATTGTCCTAGTCTGTGACAAGCAGCACCGGACGGACTAACATTGGCTGTCAGCCGTTCCTGGTTGTGCTTTGCACCATCTAAGTGTAAAGTTTTCATCCAAGACTGTCCGGGATCACCATTGCGCTAATTTTTGGTGGGGATCCACTAGAACTCATCCATAAATGCAACTATACTTGAACAATGTATCAGTGCCTGCGGTAAATAAGATGAAATCACGAACTGTGTAACGAAAGCTCGAGGTGCTTCTGCCAATCAGTGCGAAATCACTCTCGCTCTGAAGAGCAGAGTTTACAACGCAGCCGTCCGTTCAATCCTGCTATACGGTTGTGAGGCATGGTCCATCAGGTCGATAGACATAAAGTGGTTTGTTGCGCTTGGCCACCGGTGTTTTTGAAGCTTAGCTCATATCTGATCGGAACATCGCGTCAGCAACTAAACTGTTTGACGCCTTGTTTATGGTACAGGAAGAGGAAGTGAACCGCTCCGCACCGTCATTTCACGCACCTGGCTTCGATGGTTGGGTCAGATGTTACGCATTCCAGCAAACTGGCAGCTGCGGCGTGCGCCGTTTGCACGGCCGGGATGTAAAAGGGAGAAGAGGAGGCCATACGATGACGTAGGCTAGCGGAGTAAAGCTTTCTATTTGGTTGATATCCTCTGTTACAGCCTCTCGACGCTTAGGTTGGAGTCCGAAGTACGATGAACACGTTTGGTTGGATACGCTTGTCACCATGGCGAAGAACTAACCACAGTGGCGCCTGTGTTGTTTCTTTCTCCAATCCCATAACGCCGAGTGTCCCTATCCAACCACGCTGTCAATGTATAGCATATAACAAAGAATAATAAGATGGTTGCCTTGTTTGCTTGCTTAGTTTTTTCTCCTATTTTTACTACCACCGTACAGTTGTTTAGCATCCATAACGAATGCGTATAATGAATGATAAGTGGATGCTAACCCACCGTCGAAGACACTTAAAGGCACTTGCGGCCTAGGTTATAAATAATGGTTGTTGCTTCATCTGGCCGAGTTTTGAGTTTTACCATTGTCCACGAACATCGAACATGAAGGAAGCTGCAAGTGAGTTGGTATGACCTCCAACCGTTTGGCTGTCTGATATTTTCAATTCTCAGACAAGGGAAAAATGCAACGCAGCGCAGACCAAACTGTCAAGGGACACGTAAAGTACCGTTCCACACCGCAAATGGAGGGAAATAACTGGGGTACTTAACTAGGTCCAACAAAGTTTATGGTAAGTTCACGAGATTAGATAGCCAATAAGCATTCATAAAAGCGATAGACACCCACTTCATTCTGCATAGATTTACCAGTAGTGTGTACAATCTGGTTTATGTAGCTACTCAAAACGTTGTCAAACTTATTCTCTCTTTCTACAGACGGAACGTATTGGTCAATGAAGTTGCATCCGCCCACCGACAGTTAGCTAACTTGCAGCAGCAACTGGAGCTCGAGAATGGGTCCACCACTTGTTTGAACGATCGGATGAGTGCAAACGAAACGGGCAAAAAGGAGTTCGTTGCAAATTGGCAGGTAGGTCTAATTTCAGTATGTCGTCATACTTACCATGGGTTGCACACATAAGGTGCAAATGAATTAACAGAGCGGCTAGTACGAAAGTATGCAGTGCAGGTTGGTAACGACACAAGTGTCCAGTCCTTGTGGGTGAGCAATGTGCCGACGGAATTGTGGCGTATACTGTATTCAAGTTGTACGCTGTAACACGCATAAGAAAGGGCTACGAGGACGTGACAACATAAAACGATTAGGAAAGTAAGATAAGACTCAGAAGAATACCGTCACAGATAGCAGACAGAAAGACCCAGGTATCATGGATATCAACAGAACTTTCTACGATATATGGTCAGATAAAGGTAAAAAATGAGGGCTGAGAAGAACAAATCCGAACTCAAAAAGGATGGGGTTAAAAGTTAAGCATCGAACACAGTCCAATTGAATGAGGAGCACAAACGCTCCTAATTGAATAGGTTCGAACGTAACCCTATGTACACTGCTCTCTCATTCCTCACAGGTGTTGGAAGACGATGAATACGAATTTGAGCTACCACGGGACACGCTACCATGAACTTCACATTGGGCGGGAGTGCGCTAATCCCCTTGCGACAAGACGGCTCATGCTAACCATTGCAACTTCCTACACTTTATTCAGGAACACGACGCCATGACAATCCGCGCCAAATTGCATTTCTGCAACCCAACTGATAGCTGTGACAGATTGATAATAAAAGCAATAGAAGTACCAAATTTTTATCTTACCTTCGAAGCACATCACTGGAATCAGAGGAATGTAATCAAGAACGCTACTAATTGGCCAGAAGAGCACGATTCGTCAAATAAAGTCAATTACGGAATGTGGACGAGGCCAATATATAAAAAACGGTAGTTAGTGTTTCAGTAAAGGCAGAAGTTGTTGCACACACGAGAAGATACTGTTGGCATCTATTCCGTATTTCTGAAGCAATTCATCCGGTTTCCCAGAACGGGGAACTTCTCGTACCGCTATCCGATGAACGATGTGCGAAACACCAATCTGTGAAAGTGCCTGTTCAACGGCATCACCCAAACCACCTAAAATGGAAAAGTGGTCACTGCAAAGTTCGGGTCGAAGGGTTCAAGATGGCCGACAAGTGGTTCCACGGTTCAGGGGCCGATCTTAATTAAGATTGTGATATGGGTGAAACTGACTCACAGCGCAGAGCACAACCAGTTTCGAAACAATCATTTGGTGATGCAAACTTTAAGCTAAGGGTCTACAGCAAGCAGACAATAGCACAACCGTAGCATCCAGTTATGCGCAAAGCAAGGAGGTCGGGAGACATTTGAGTCACTGAAATTTAAGAGGTTACTCCGATACGAAGTTGACCGCATGTATTTCGATATTTAAGAACCCAAGGTTGCGATACTTCTCATCAGGCAAATACAGTGATAAAAATACAAAAGCAGCACAACGCAGTATGCCAGTGGAGATCGAATTGAGGATAAATGAGCCGGGAGCATTTGAACAATGCTGCCACATTCGATGGATAGTTTAGTTAATCAACTGAAGACAGGGGTTACAGCAGCCGATGGCGATAAGGAAATCGTACTTGGCCGCCGCCATTGTACGATGCTGAGGAGTTGACGCTTGACCATGGCAAGAAAAGCGCTTGCACATGGGCCCTTTGCTTGCACAAATCTGGCTGCGTCACTCTGGTGGCAATAGCCTCAACCGTCCTCAGGAGGCGTTTTCTGAGCATTTTGGGGTACCTGTTAGACACAGTCGAATGCTTTGAATGAGTCGGCTGGTCGGATTTCGTGTCTACTTTGAAACAAGTGCTGTTAAATTCTCCGATCATGCCCCTTCTTAGCGAATACCTCAGGGCACGTATACTTTCGATTGGCTGTGTGGCTTGCGCTGCGCTACCTAGTTCTCCATCTACACAAAGCCATATTCTTTGTAAGCATGAAGAAATACGACTGGGAACCGTCCGATTGGGAACCACTCCATTAACACATAGTATATATGTGCGTAAGACAAGGAGGTGGATGGGCCGTAACCTACTCCGCCCAATGAGCATAATGCTGTCACGAAAACTCTGTATCTTCTCCCCCATCCATCCGTCCGGTGGAGGGTTCCGAGGACTTCCGTGTCCATGTCATACGTGGGTCATATTAGACTGAGAACGGTGAAAGGCAAAAGAGGTACTTCGTAGGAGGCTGGACAGTTATATCACTACGTAATATGAATCGGAGCTGGATGGAGGGTGTGCCTGTCTTACAACTCGTGGCGACCTGGACGATGTTGTCACAGCTGCCGATGGAGGACCGAGCGTGAAGTGACTGGATGAATGGCGTGAAAACATGCACAGTAGATAGCTGCTCTGACAACACCAAAGATGAATTGGGGAGACAGAGCGAGGAAGAAACGATTATCACAATTTAGACTATACTCGACGACGTCCTACCTGCTACAGCGACACTGACGCGCTACACCATCTCCCTTATTCTCCTGAAAGTAGTTATCGAGGTGATGGATCTGGAAGAACAGACGTTTTGTCAACATTCGCATCAACCGAGGTCATAGCCGGCATAGAACGCGTGAATAAAGCTCATGCACACATTCACTGCAGCGGAAACGCATCGGATTTGCCATATCAGTGGCGATGTTGGCATACGTTGATAAGCGCAGCTGTTTCTATAGCAACGCAGTGGGGCATTTTCAGAAGAGAATTGTCGCAGACGGATGCCATGCATCCGAAAAAGAGTTACAGGGTAGCGCTGGAATTCATGGGCAGCGCGTCCTTCCTGAGCTGGTGGAAGGCCCGACATGACGACGCGGCTCCTCCTAAGCTGTTGTGTAAAAGACAGAAATTACCACCATAATTACAACTTTCCCGCGGTAAACCACCGCCATCTTATGCAGCATACACCCCCTGCTTATGTTCACCAACGACATGAGGAATAAGTGGTCAGAACTGGTGGAAAGTGTCTTCCGAGTGCAATGATCAATGAGTAAAAGTAGAAAGAAACTTGGAAATTAGCACGGGGTGTCCTCGCAACCCTTGTAGACCGAGTACAGCTAACCAAGATGGCATGATGAGGAATGACGAATAAGTGATACTAGGAAGCGTGAAATATGATCATGGGTTGGAAGAAACGTTACACGCAGCAATGTCGCTTATAAGTGTGTTGGTTATTTTACTGACTAGTGATGAGGCAATTTAGTTCACTTGTACTGTCGTAAAACTACAGCTATCTGCCAACTTTGAAAGAAGATAGCAAATCGCCAATTAATAGCTGCAAGCCCAAATTTAGCAATGAAACATTAACAGCACATCCAAGAAAGTTCCGAAAGTGCCTGCAAAAAGCCGTTTGTAATATAAAACCAGTTCACTCATATGACCCCAATGAATAGATGTGGGATGTAAAGTTCAAAAGAACTTTCGTTTCCTTTACCAGATCGGCTATTCCTTCTTGATGACTCAGTGATCCTATTCCCACCTCTTTCCACCTTCCGAGTTAATAACATGCTTTTCGTGCTTTAGAGCATTACATGCTCAGACGAGTATTGTTTTACATTTAATTCAATTGCATGCACTTTCTCAAGGTCACGCTTCCACCTATCTGCTTTTAACATCACTGTTATCTGTTTCCCCTGCCGGTGTAAGCCTAGTCGTGAGTCCTATCTTGTATATGATTCTGCCCTTGAGAATCACGGTTACAGGATTATAATACAGATTCGTCTGTCTCGACCGCTGTATGCCCAGACCGTGCGTATTGTCTAATTTTATAGCTCGAAATAGTAATATTTATATACAATGCGTGCGACGTAACTCGATTTAGGTTGTTCCGTCATTACATGGGGTATGTACCTAAACCGGTGGCTCAGAAGATAAGACGGCAAAATCTGTAAGCGCTTAAGGTGAACTGATTGCGGGCTCGTTTCAAACACTCGTTGTGTGTACATGGATTGTGACAGGTAATCCGAAGTTGGATTACGAAAGAGATTGAAGTGAACCACGGTTAGTTCGGCCAATGGTACCTCACTTGAAACAGACGTTAGGCATTGCCCTCTCGTAACAACGCACTCCATCACCCGTTTTGTACTCAGCAATCAGGACTAGAGCCCGAACTCCGGACCGAGGGACTACTGGCCTCCACCTCTATCCCAACGAGCTGCGGACATCGTTTGTCTATAAAGTTAGTGACCCATTGTGAATGCGTTTGAAGAAACCGATGTGTGTGTGAATGCATTGCGGGGGGTAATCCAATGGTGGATCGCGATGTATGTTGAAGTGGTCCCGATCAGAATAGGCGACGTCTAACACGATGCGAGCATTGAAGAAGTCGACTGTATTCATTCAGCATGCAAGTGGAGGGATAGACTGCAGTGAGGAATATAGCCTTAAGAAGGCCGTTTAGATGTCGCTCTGCCCTCGATAAACGCTCCATATACAACCATAGAGAGCAGTTCGGTATACAGGGCATCAGCAGTACACCGGTACACGGTCCCGACGCTTCGCTGCAGCGCAACCAACACCGGTCGCACGTGGGCTAAGGATACTACGAGGATTGCCTTGCTCCTAGGCAGACTCGAACCCGCTCCGTCAGATTACAAAACAAGCTCGTTACCTTTAGGCTACGGGTCGGAGTTCTGTACGTAAGATACCGATGATCAAACAGTTTAGGAAAATAAGAGAGCGAAAGAAACATCGGGCTCCGTTCAGAGAAAATGGTTATCTATACCATAAGAGAAAATGAACCAAAACTCGAAACTGGGCGAAAAAGGCTTTACCTTCCGGAACATGATCCTCAACCGTGATCAGGTGACTGCTTGTTTCCTCCACCGCCCGGCGAAGTAGATCGGTATCAATCGGTTTGACAGTAAACGGGTCAATTACACGAACTTGTACATTCTCCTTGGCTAGTTTTTCAGCAGCTTTCAGGGATTCAAAAAGAGTAACTCCAGCGGCGACGATAGTAAGTTGATCAGTGTTGGCACCCGAAGTACGGACCACCTAGAGTATATAGCAAAACGAATTGAAACGGTTAATGAGCTGCAGAATGCCAACGAGTAAAACGGACCTCCTCCACACTATGAAAACACAGACAACAGGAAATCGAGTCCTTATGATAGCTTGGGCCTTTCTTGTTGGGTGGCTTCGTGGTTTGCTTGAAAACAAATTTGAGAGAACAGTGGTGAAAAGATGGACGATATCCTGCTGTCCATGGAAAGACCAAGAAGTCGTCTATCCAAGGTTGCGGATAACAAGCCAGATGCCTAAGCCACTCGTCCACCGGCCGACTCAAAGCAAATTCAAGCACCACTCGGCTCCGTGATTGCGGACATCCCACCGTCTAATGCTAATTCGGATCGCGTCGCAGTTAAGTGCAAGAGTAAGCAGATTCGCCCACAAACCCGGAATTTCTATTCAATTCAATTTAAGAAAGTGCTTTATTCATCTGTTCCGCACACGCTTGCAGCATAGTAAAAGAAATGAAGCATTAAATACACAAGTGGAGTAATAAGTGGCATAAACAACAGTATGGCTACGATGACAAGTTATTTTTAAGCTCCAGGACAACTGATGTCTGGTCGCACTAAAAACATGCCAGAATAACGAATGAATGATAAACCGTTGTGTGGGCAAAAATGGATCTATACTTTTGTCTGATTGGGGATGTTGATACACACTCAGATAGTGCACCATGAAGAAGGTGACTTGTATCAGTAAGTATTCTCGGATCAAGCCTTATGCATGAACTGGTGTTAGTGGACACAAGAATCTCAACAAAGATCGGCTTGGGAATTCCACTGCACCGAGATAATTGCATCAGTGACCTACCTGGGATTTTGAAGTTTCCCTGGGAAACCAGGAAATATCATAGTGGAGAAATAGGTCCAGAGGAGTGATACACATGCGGTGATAAATCTCAGAATTAAGTGGCGGGGGACAGAGGAGAATCGCAAACGAAGAGCGTAGAACGAAAGCCTCCTCATCTTTGTAAAAACACCATTAACATGGGGTGATCAGGGAAGATCACGACTGAGCGTTACACCTAGGTATTTCACTGACAATCTGGAGTGCAAATTCCCGCCATCTATGTGGAGTTCAGAGTATTCCAGGAGAAGTTGCTGATAATCATGGCGTTGATGTAGAGAGAAAATGACGTTATTATATTTTGGTGCATTCGACGACAAAATGTGAGCTCTGGACCATAATACAGGGCTGTCCAGATAGGCTTGTAATTTAGTTGGTGTGGCTGCTGTCGGTTGTTGCATACCCAGCATATTGCATATTTGCAATACCGCATCAGCAGGGGTAGGTAAAGAGGCGATGTAGGTGGGAAAGAGGTATGGAGATAGTATGGCCCCTTGAAGAACGCCAGTGTCTGTGGTGAGCGGTGAGGAAGTTTTACCTCCAAGTCGAGTCAACTGGGCACATCCAGTGAAGTAGTCTCTCAAAAGGTGGACAGTAGAGAACTGAATTCCAACATAGTGCAGGTTTCTCAAATGCAGGTCAGAGTAACGCCACTGTTGGACAGGTTCCCTATAATAATAGATAAAATAATGTGTCAGCTGTATGCCTAACGGCGCTTCGCTGCCGCGCGACCACCGCCAGTAGCGCACGGGCTGAGTATACCGCGGGGACGCCCACCCCTACGCGGATTCGAACCGGTGACCTTATGGTTGCAAACCAAACGCGCAGACCACTCGGCCACCGGCCGACCAGGTCCCCAATACCTTTTCTCAGTCAACTGCATCCATAGCACTTTCTAATTCCTCCTTAAGAAAAATGTGTTCCTCCACAGATCTCTCAATATGGTCTTTGACGCTATCAAATTGCATCCAACGGGTACAAACGCTCCCAAAAATGCGAACTTTTTTTGATTGAACAATCCCAAGTCAGTCGACAGTATAACAAGTGAGTACACAGAATGGGATGCTATGGGCTGGCTTGGGATTGGTCACTCAATGGGCAGTAGCAGTTAGGGGGGTTTCGCGCCCGTTAGATGCTATTTCATAGCGTCAAAGACCACATTGGAAGATCCGTGGAGGAACACGATTTTTTAGGGATAAATTTAGAAGTATGCATTTTGTATTGTCTCCTCAGTACCATTAACAATAACCGATAAGCATAAATATAGCTAACAGTGGGTGCAACCAGACAAGCTTAAAGTGCAAAATGAATGACGTCCAAGGCAGCTTTAGGCTGACAAATAATTGTTTCTGAACACACAAGGCTGGCTTAATCCGGCTAATTGCGACAGCCTCAGCAAACCGAAGGAAGCGGGGATTAGTGTGATGTAACACAACTTTAAACGCTGAACCCAGCTCTAATTGGTGACCCGAGTCTAATAGGTGTTTACCTATCGAGGAAGCCGGCGGTCTGCGCGAACATGGAATCTGACGAGGGTAGGCAATCTGAGCAACTTCACGTTGAACCCATCTTGACACATGGTCCTTCATTCGGGAAGTCAGCGTTCTATTGCTTTTCAAATTGTTGAAGGGAATTAACTGCTTTAAATTTAGAAGTGCTATGGATACACTTGACTGTGAGATGGTATACAACAGGTAGTCACAACACTTGTGGTCATTTAAAGAAACGACGCGCACACTGAAAACCTTCAAAATGTGCTCCAAAATGTCAAATGCTTAGGGATGCGGATCGGGGGGTGGTGGAAACAGAGCTCACAGAATCACACAGTGTCTCCGGATGAACAAAGGGCTAGCCTCGCGTGCGGTAGCAATTCTCCGTCTGCATGCAATAATTACCGGTTCACCAACGCTGCTCCCATGTAAGCTAGTACTCAAACCACCTTAACTAGCTCAACGACCAGGCAGAGATCCATCTGTGGACTTTGGCCCAAACACTAGAGCTGTCAAATCTTACATTATTACGATGATAAAACTAAGAGTGGTAATGCGGAAAAAAGGGAATAGAAGTAAAAATCAGGGCAAAAGTGAGAAAACGAATTAATTACTAAATGGACGGTGTGACGGACGGACGGTGTGTGACGGACGGACGGACGGTGTGTGACGGACCTCAAGCAGATCCAAATGGGTCACTGCAACCATACTCCCCATATAGATCTGCTCCCCACTGCCTTGTGGATCAGGTTATTGAGCCAAAGCCTCTGGGTGGAGTCCCTCAAGCAAACCTCACGCGTGTGATTGCCCACCAATGTATTTGTATGTGTGCGAGCAAAGCAATCAACATCGGATGCTGGAACGTGCACACACTACTGGACCGGAACTCGAGTGAGCGCCCCGAGCGACGCAACGCACTGGTGACGATGGAACTGGCGCGCTACAAAGTCGATATTGCGGCGCTCAGCAAGACCGAGCTCGCTGAACAAGGTAACCTGTGTGAACCTGGTGCCGACTATATGTTCTACTAGGTGGAAAATGCCACCCCAACACCACGTGAACATGAGGTCGGATTTGCACTATCCGATCGCCTGAATGGCCAACTGGTGGATGAGCCGACTGGCATCTACCCGCGACTGATGACTTTCACCTACGACTCGGGAGAGGTAAATTTGCTACTTTTGTAAGCACGTACGGTCCGACCATGTGGTATCCTAATGACACGCGTGATCAATTCTACACTCAGCTATCCTCCGTAATACGGTCTGTGCCGAGGAGCGACCGATTATTACTGCTGGGTGATTTCAACGCGAGCGTTGGGCATGATGCATCAGTGTGGACAGATGTTATCGGTCCGCATGGCATTGGTTCGGCGAATGCGAACGATGACAGGCTGCTCCACTGTGTTCCACTCAAGGCCAGGCGATCACAAACATTCGGTTTGCATCGAGTGCGAGTGATATAGCAACTTGGACGCACCCGCGGAGTGGTCACGCTCACCTGCTCAACTATGACATTGTACGTCAGCGTGATATGCGTGAAGTGCGCATGACACGTGTACTGCGTGCAGCTGGATCTGGCACTGATCACGAGTTGGTGCGGACCAAAATGTACATATATTTTCGTAAATCCATGTATGGCACTCATGCCGTGAACCACAGGAAATATAACGTTCTGTGGAGAAGAGGATGGAGCTGGAGAAGACGATGGCTACATGCCTGTGTGATGTGGAATGCATAGCCACAGTGGGCGACCTGTGACAACACGTTCGCGACCAGGTGACAGCTGCTGCCGAGGAGACCAACGGCGGCGCAAAGTGTAAGCGGCCCAATTCGTTCCACGACAACAATACGATGATTGGCGCATTGGTGTCTGAGAAGAGTGCACCATTTGCTGCACATGTGGAAGGCCCCAGTGGCTTGGAGAAGAAGAGTCAGATTCGCAAATGTCAACGGCGAATGGTTTGAGCTCCGTCTTATTAAAATGCGTGGACGGAGAAGGCGAAGCAGATGGAATGCGACGCCGAACACCGCTAACACAAGGAATACTTTGACTCCTTGAAGGCCGTGTATGGACCGAGGTTGGAGTAGCTGAGGACGCCGCTCGATGGTAGTTCAGGCGCTGCCTGCACCCGGACTGCAGACATAATGCAGATCTGGCGCAAACATTCTGTCTCTTGAACAACCGTTCAGTGACTGACTGGTCTACATTGAACTGCCGGAAGCAGCACGATGTGAAGGTGAGTCTGGCGGAAACACCGACACTGGATGAGACGCAGAGAGCACTTACTTAGCTACGAAAAGACAAGTGTGCCATTTGAGGTATTGAGACACGACTGATCTAAATTGGTAAATGCGTTGTACCACTTGGTGCAAATGCGTGTGGATTGAAAAGGAGATGCCTCCTAAACTGAAGGATGCCCTGGTGCTACCACAGTACAAGATCTAAGGAAGCAAGCAACATGCAACGAATAATCGTGACATCAACTTGCTGAGTTGTGTGGGCAAGATGGTTTCCAGAATCCTGCTCAACCGGCTCGTCAGTCAGGTTGTAGAACCGAACGTGGCGAAAGAGCAATGTGGATTCCATTCAAGTCGCGGCACCATAGATATGGTGTTCGCGGCTCGTCAGCTGCAGGAGAAATGCTGAGGGCGACATTACTTACTGTACTCGCTGTTTGTAGACTTCACCAAGGCAGTTGACAAGTCAAACTGCGAAGCATTGTGGTTGGTGTTGGGTCAGTTTGGTTGTCGGAATAAGTTTGTACGTTTAATTGAATGTCTGCACAGTGGTGTGCGGACGAGGGTACAGCTGAGTGGACAGACCTGGGGTGACTGCAGTTACCTATGGTGTGAAGCAAGGCTGTGTTTTAGCTCCTGTCCTGTTTAATATGTATCTTCATGCTATGGTGTCGTGTGCGTTTGATGCAGCTTGTGCTTACGGTGTTCGTGCGGAGCACCATATTGATAGTGGATTACTGAACATGCGTCATTTCGGTGCGAGAACCATAGTCTGTGAGACAACTATCCATAGGTTGCTGTTCGCTGACGACTGTGCATTGTTTGTACACACGGCGGATGAGTAGCAGCACATGACTAGTGCTCTGGTTTCGACAGCGGCCAAATTCGGGCTCGCCATCAACACAAGCAAAACTGTCTGTCTCTTTCAGCCTTCACCGGAAGTGTAACCTACAACAGTGAAGCGAATCGACACTGGTGACGAAGTGTTGGGCACCACCTCCCGCTTCTGCTACCTTGGGAGTGTTGTTCCGACTGACCAGCAAACATACAGTGAGCTTCGTATCCACGTATCGAAGGCAGCGGCGACTTTCGGGAAGCTTGAGTACTGTGTGTGTAACAACCACGAGCTTACCGTTAGCATGAACCTGATGGTATACCAGTTCATGGTGAGGTCCATTTTTCTATACGGTTGCGAAACGTGAACAAGGTACCGGCGAGATGTGAGACATCTCGAGCGGTTTAATCTACTGTATCTGCAACGGATTCAGCACATCGGTTGGTGCGACAGAGTTGCAGGCACGGAGTTGTTGCGCCGAAGTGGAATGTATGCAGTGGACTGCATACTTTTGCTGAGACACATAAGGTGGCTCGATCATGTGTGCCGTATGGATTCTAAGCGGATACCGAAGCAGCTATTAACTGAGTGTGGCGATGCGGCATTGGGAAAATCGAAGCTTCGTTACCATGACATGATCAAAATGCGCCTATTATGTTCCAAGGTTGATTTCAGGTGTTTGAAATCGAATGCTGTTGATAGGCGTGCATAGCGCGATCTGATCACGAAGGCAACTGCCAAAGTGCAAGAGAAAGCCCTCGTGTATGCGAAGAAGCGGCAAGTGCGGAAGCGACAGACGCCGATGGGCTGTACTTCATCGAGGTCGAACGCATGGCGTTGTAGCACATGTGGTCGCGAGTGCTTGAGTCAGGTTCGACTGAGAAGGTAAGCAGAACCGGCGCAGCATTGGTAGGTACGCTGCATGCGTTTCCATTCGATTTACTAAGTCTTTACTTCAGGTGACTGGTTTGTTCCATTGTCTTAATGCTTATTTCATTACCATATTTTATGTCTACCTGAATAATCTTCTATTAACTTGAATATGTCGCTTAAACGAAGGCTGTGAAGTTCTTTTATTTTTTCTCGTTTGTTGCATAGGCTTTTTACCTCAAGCTCCGCCAGCTTGAAATTATCGCGGATATGTTGATAACCCATTTATTTCATATGCTCATTTAGCGAAGAGTTATGTCGGCATATCCGTATGGTGTTTCGATCCATTTTATTTAGTACTTTCAGCTCAAGTGATTGGCTGCTGCTTGATAACCTCGTTGTGGTTGCGCTGGATGTGCATGTTGACAAGGTGCCTGCCTGTCTATTACCCACTACGTCGTCCATAATGGTTCCAGGAGACAGTTGGTCGTTGCCGGAGAGGACAGGGTGCACGGTTCTTGTGGCCGTGTTAGGATCAAAGAGTGGTTCCATCCAATGTGGAGCGGATTACTGTCCAACCACCACCTTGCGTGCGCTTGATTCCCCAAATGCTGCGTGCTTGTGTTTGTCTGTGAAGGAGTGTGGGCCGGCTCGGTTGATGAAATGTTGCTCCCATCCACATGCCTCCCTTCTTGATTACACTGGATACGGGGTGTGTGGATGGAGTCGTGAGTGAGGCAGCGCAAGACACCCATTGTTCCGCTATATGCGCAAGCGTCCTGTGACTGTCCTATGGCGGCCGCAGTGACAGGCAAATCCGGAACCGGATGTTGTTAACCATGTATGTGTAGAGTGAGGGGGGAAGACAACTACCTAAGACTAGTAAGACAACAGGTGTAGTCTGGTGTTTCTTAAGATTTTAAGGCTAATGAGGTATTCCCTGTGGGTCTATGAACCGGCGAGTTTGTATGATTGAATAAGACGGTCTAGATGGGACGAGGTAGGGATGAAAAGGCAGCGTGTTCAATAGAACGAAATGTCTGCATCAGGTACAACGGAGAAGTCCGCAGAGGATATGAGTAAAGTGAGGTGGAGGGTTTCGGTGTGGCTCTCTCCTATCCCTGCACTCCACGACCGACGGTTTCGTCTTTGTTTATACTCATCAGGTAGAGACAACCGACCTAGGAGTGGAACTCAGCGCATAGTGCTTGGTGGCTATCGCCATGATCACTAGGCCATTGAGCTCCGCAAGCAGTGCTTGACACAGTGACGGTCCCAGTGACCGTATTGGAAGAGGCTGACTTCCAAGTCAACCGCCGCCACTAATGAGATTGCGTGTCGCAATCCAAGACACACGGCGGGTGCTCCAAAAAAAACGAAAATCTACTTCTAACCGCTGTGTCAAACACTGCTCGCGGAGCTCAATGGTCTAGTGATCACGACGATATCCGCCAAGCACTATGCGCTGAGTTCCACTCTTAGCTCGGCTATCTCTACCTGATGAGTCTAAACCAAGACGAAACCGTCGGTCGTGGAGTGCAGGGATAGGAGAGAGCCACACCGAAACCCTCCACTTCGGTGACGGTCCCAGTGACCGTTTTGGCAGAGGCTGACTTCCAAGTCAACCGCCGCCACTAATGAGATTGCGTGTCGCAATCCAAGACACACGGCGGGTGCTCCAAAAAACCCAAAAATCTACTTCTAACCGCTGTGTCAAACACTGCTCGCGGAACTCCATGGCCTAGTGATCATGGCGATAGCCGCCAAGCACTATGCCTCGGGTTCCACTCCTAGCTCGGCTATCTCTACCTGATGAGTCTAAACCAAGACGAAACCGTCGGTCGTGGAGTGCAGGGATAGGAGAGAGCTACACCGAAACCCTCCACTTCGGTGACGGTCCCAGTGACCGTTTTGGCAGAGGCTGACTTCCAAGTCAACCGCCGCCACTAATGAGATTGCGTGTCGCAATCCAAGACACACGGCGGGTGCTCCAAAAGACCCAAAAATCTACTTCTAACCGCTGTGTCAAACACTGCTCGCGGAACTCCATGGCCTAGTGATCATGGCGATAACCGCCAAGCACTATGCCTCGGGTTCCACTCCTAGCTCAGCTATCTCTACCTGATGAGTCTAAACCAAGACGAAACCGTCGGTCGTGGAGTGCAGGGATAGGAGAGAGCCACACCGAAACCCTCCACTTCGGTGACGGTCCCAGTGACCGTTTTGGCAGAGGCTGACTTCCAAGTCAACCGCCGCCACTAATGAGATTGCGTGTCGCAATCCAAGACACACGGCGGGTGCTCCAAAAAACCCAAAAATCTACTTCTAACCGCTGTGTCAAACACTGCTCGCGGAACTCCATGGCCTAGTGATCATGGCGATAGCCGCCAAGCACTATGCCTCGGGTTCCACTCCTAGCTCGGCTATCTCTACCTGATGAGTCTAAACCAAGACGAAACCGTCGGTCGTGGAGTGCAGGGATAGGAGAGAGCCACACCGAAACCCTCCACTTCGGTGACGGTCCCAGTGACCGTTTTGGCAGAGGCTGACTTCCAAGTCAACCGCCGCCACTAATGAGATTGCGTGTCGCAATCCAAGACACACGGCGGGTGCTCCAAAAAACCCGAAAATCTACTTCTAACCGCTGTGTCAAACACTGCTCGCGGAACTCCATGGCCTAGTGATCATGGCGATAACCGCCAAGCACTATGCCTCGGGTTCCACTCCTAGCTCAGCTATCTCTACCTGATGAGTCTAAACCAAGACGAAACCGTCGGTCGTGGAGTGCAGGGATAGGAGAGAGCCACACCGAAACCCTCCACTTCGGTGACGGTCCCAGTGACCGTATTGGCAGAGGCTGACTTCCAAGTCAACCGCCGCCACTAGTGAGATTGCGCGTCGCAATCCAAGACACACAGCGAATGCTCCAAAAAAATCCGATAGTGAGGTGGTTCAAGCTCTTGGTTTGTAACCTATAGATTATCAGTTCGACCTTGTGTAGCTGACGGCGGTCACGTGATGCTCCCATTCCACAGGGGTGGTCGTGGGTGGAAGCGTGGCAGACAGTAAAAGCACAGACAGATTTTGAGGAAGACAAGCGCGCAGACAGTCGGCTATGAAAGCAACTTACCTTTCCACGACCAACGGCAAAGTGTTCATCCGACCTATAGATCACTGGCTGGTTCGGTCTTCCTGTACGAATGTAGCAGATGCCTTGTGTATTAGCGGCCAGTTCTACAGCACGCTCAGTTGCCACTGCATCAGACGGGTAGAATACCGTTGAACCGAACACTGACCGAAACAGAGCCAAATCCTCCAGTCCCATTTGGCTAGGACCGTCCTCGCCTATCATGTAGAAAATAAGGTACAAGAATGCATTACAAATAGACAGTGGGATGAAACTATATATAGTAACCAGAGAGGGCGTAAAAAGTACCACGTGGTATGCATGATAGAAATAAGGGCCCTACAGACCACTTCTTACAGGGTAGTGGAGCAGGCGTTTCACCTAAGCCGCTAGAGAAGAAAGAAAATACTAGGTTTATCTCCGTTCTGGACACTAAATCGATGAAGATGGACCGCCATCTCCGCAATGGCCGTTCGTGGTGTGTACGGATGACTTCGGCGGAAAGAACTGGGGGCCAGAGCAGCAGCCGAAAATGTCAGCCGCAGGAGTAGCGCTCATGGCCTTGAGTCACCAGCATTAAAAACAACAATAGATCGACCATTTGAAGTAATGCTTTGCTGTCGTACAACCACCATGGCTTCAAGAGAGAAGGGAAATCTCGCGTAAAACTTAGACACCTTAAAAATTAAGGCCCAAGGCGCCTACACCTTGTCAACAATACAAAGCCACAGGTAGCCGGTTATCGTGCCAAGATGAGGCAGCATCGGCAAGGTAGCTTCTTTGTGGCTTACAGTGCTCTGGATCACAATCATCCAGTACCACACACATAACTCGGCGCCAGGTACACTTTAAACAGGTAGTCCGACTACAAGACGACAGTAGACACACCACGAATCCAGACTACGTGATAGATTCAGTAATATTTCAATACAGGCACAACCTCGGACGCATAGATTCCAAGCTAGAAGGTGAGACAGACCGAGCGTACTCAGTTTGGTTGTCCGTGACTTTATTTTCGATGCCGAGTCAACTTTTCTACACCTAGAGTCACCATACAAGTGTTGAAAAAAGTAAGGCATTCCTCGATGGGCGGTGACTGAGTATACGTGGTACGTGCCCAAGCCAACGTAACTTCTTCGGCGCTATCTGCTGCTCTAAGAAACTAGCTGATTATCACTAGCCTACGCACATCATGATTGCGGACACGTTGGTGCCACCCGACACCAGCAATGCTCTACGAGCAGCGATGACTAAAGACTTAGAGGCACTTCAGATCGAAGAGTCCAAGTTTCACGACAGAGTAGGACGGCCCTCACTAAAAATTGGCATATACGGAGTTTCAGACCCAGGGGAATCACCTTCTGATTCCACAGTTGTCCCAGCTTCAAGTAGTGTGTTCTAGCTTACGAAATACGCGTTTACACGCCCGTCGCTGCTGCTATTAAGGTGTGAATTGGTCAACTACCTCGAGTTCTTTACCTTCAACAGTCAAGAGACCACCAAGTAGTTGGTGATCATGCAACAACACCGCAATCACGAAAGTAGTGTCTCGCTTGCGCTCACTCTGACTGAGTGATAGCAGAACGAGCGAAAAGATTTGGGGATACCAAGCAAAAGTACCTAAAGGCAAACAACATCAATAGCATAGATTCCGTCCTTTGCCTCGCACACCCACAAAGGCTGGTTTTAATCGGTGTCTTGCGCTAACCTTCTCACTGACGATGGGGTTTGCCAACTCATCGCTTCTGTGGTTATTCCTTGTCACCCACCGTCATAATGAGCCGCGTACGCAAAGTGCTTGAGAGAATATCTGTTCTTACTAGAAGACCACTCAGAAATGATAGCGCATTAACTCGACTGACATTCTCTTTCAAGCTTTTAGCATTTCAGGACCGACTTGGCAAATGACGTATACCTAGTGGCCGTGGGCGAGCTAAACCAGTGTCGTGTAATGCCTGTTTTGAAGCAGTTACGGTATGTTGGTATCAGTGCTGACGTGGAGTGCCCCTCCATCGTAGGAAGAACGAACACACGGTATTGGCTGCTCGCTTAGATCCATCAGTAGTAACTAGACTCGAGGGCCCGACAAAGCAGTGGAGATAGTGAAGCAATAGGTTATGGAACAACGTCACCGCCGTTTGTGCACTGATATTATATGGATCGAATTGATTACTGTGCACTGAAGACACAACGCGGCTGACCAATTTTGATCGTCGGTGCCTGTAAAACACCCCACACATATGGTGGTACAAGCGGCATATCAGCGTTGCATTGTTTATTAAACTTATGGTGACAACTTTACTAAGCTGCACCCCCTTTTCGTTCATTTACTGTGTATATTAGTGTGTGCCACCTGTAGGTTGCACAATCTGCTGGGTGAGGGGACAGAAGGCGGCCCGCTGATGGTGTCATCATCGTGACGGTGGTTGGAAATGCGTCCCGATATAGAACATTTCGGAAGTCAGTGGCGCGCAAGAATTGTCCCCTACAGTTTACCACATATCTCTTAAGAAGATGGTTTTGTCTTTCGTGTTGAACAGTTGTGAGTTCGCGTTGCATTCGGTTGTTATTTTCCCGGTTTTCATGGTGACTCTACGTCGGTGCCGCGACCATGAATGAGCTGACCGAGCCATCGCAGGAAGTTAACGTGACACAATGTTTTGTGCACCTCTGTGACCAATTGAGCTATGCTGGTTGGTACTTTCCAAGTGCCTTCAGAGCCACTCATATCAGACAGGTAAATGGTAAGGAGTCAGACTAAATCAGTCTCACAATCCTCTGCAGAGGTTAGTGAGAGGTTGATGGCTCTTCTCCCTTAAAGCCTAGCTATTTATCGCGAAAACACTAAACCTTAAAGTGGTGCGATGGTTTGCGTCCCTCAGCGACTCACTGGGCTACGCTGTGTGGTACTTTGGCAAGTTATGAGCCACTCATACCAGACTGGTCAATGGTTAGAGACCTGACAAACTCGGTCTCCTGGTCCTCCATGTTAGAAGTTGTAGTGTGGGTGGATCCTTAGTTCACAAAACAGATTCAATGTAGCCCAGTGCTAAAACGCCGCTTTGGTTGATAATCCTCCTCGTTCTCCTGTCTAGACCTGGACAATCTGACAGTATCCTACCAACGCAATACCACATAATGACTTTCTGCAATTTCTTGATGCTCTGGCCATAGCAGAGGATAATAAACGGTGCCATATCTGCTGCATCGAGTAGGGTGGATAGGGGTTGGGGTACTACCACTTAAGCTTCCCCATCTTATCGTCCCGTTCCAACTTCATTTTTGTCCCTCTTGATTTTAACCCCCTCCATGTTGTTGCAGTAATCGTTTATCTTCTACTTTCAACTGACACACAAGCGCAGGGAGTCGCTCCAGTCCAGTCGACAAGTCCATGTCTAGCCAAACGGGCAACGTCAGTTCATCTGCTTCTAATGGGAGCCATGGCTCCTCACTAAGACTGGCATGTCTCAATGTGTGCACTTCGCTGCAGACTGGTCAACAGGCAGCACAGTGCAGCACACTGGAGACCCTATCGGTCGATAGCTGCTGTTAAGCAGGAACTCGCCTGCAGGATTCGAGTTCTGTGATTACTCTGAAATTCCAAACGCGCGACAATGTCAGTATTTTCTCATTGCGCTTGTCCGTAAATGAGGCGGCTTCAAATGCCGGTCAAGCCAGTGTGAGGATTGACCTTAGCCCTCGAGCAGAAGCTGCTCTGATCGACTGGATCTCAGTCAACAGCCGGATGTGCGTTGCCAAATTGGCTGGCTCGTTCAGAGCCTCGAAGTCGCGTGGGGACAAAGCATGCTTGTTCGTCATTGTAGCCTACGCCTACACAAATCGTAGCGCTGACTTGGTGAAAGATGAACTCCATCACCAACTGAACGCGCTCCTCCGTTACAGAAAAGGTATTGATACTGTGATGCTGAAGAGTAATGTGAACGCCGAAGTTGGAAAGCTGTCCACTGATGAGCTGCATCTGGGCGGCCAACACGATGTAGGTTGCTACACCTGTGTGAATATGCTCACCTCTTTCTCGTGAGCACTAACTTCCGCCACAGCACACACGCGCCCACTAGCCTAGGAAGCAAATCAGTTATCGCTGGAGAGGCTATGGTCAAAACTGTCGCTCGATTTGGACTACGAGCGCGAACTGTGACCACGCATTGTTGGCGCCGATGTGCAGGCGGGTTTCGGCAGATATATATATATATATATATATATATATATATATATATATATATATATATATATTCGCAAAAGTCTGCTAACAGACATAATGCTATCAGAAACCATGGGATTCAAACGAAGGTACAAAAACAGTAAAATAAAACACAATACAACAATGTCCATGGTTTCGGCAGATGTCCGCAACGATACTGTGAGCGCACAGATACTCACCAACTGAATGCATATCAAAGCACGATGGCATCTGAACAGTGTAAGTGTTCAGTGAACACAGTCGATGATCACTGGTCGCATATCCGCCAGAAGTTATTAGCAGCAGTCATGTCTTCATGTGTCAAATCAAATCGCCAACCTAGACATTGAGTCTTCACGCAGTCTCTGAAACTTCTAGATGCACAGCGACGTGTTCCGGCTGAAAGCGAATACAGTAAAACTCGCAAAGATCTCAGAGCAAGATTGGGTGCTAGTCTGAAAAAAAACGAGAAACGTGATGGTCTCATCGTGCATCGAAGTTGGAGACAGCCGATGCCCTTGGTAACGTCTGATAGGAGAAACAGGCGGTAGGAAACCTGGCGTTAACGAGACCATATGTGACGAGAGTGGACAGCTGATCCGTAGCTTATCAAGGCGCTTTCAGCGTGGGGTCGAACACTTAGAGCAGTTCAATCAGTCAGAGTTGCCAGCTTCGCCGTCCCCCTGGATCTGCGCTCACGCGCAGAAATTGAACAAGGCCGCCGCAGTAGATGGACTTCATCTAGCCTTCTTCAAAGGGGGACCTGCTCCTTTGGACGAGGTACATAACTTAATAGTGAATATATAGGAGCAGGAGTCTGTCCCAGCAGACTGGAGCCGCTTCGTTATAGTCCCAACTTTCAAGGAAGGCTTTCGTTCAGAATGCGGCAGTCATAGAGGAATCAGTCTGATCTCAACTGCTTCTAAGTTACTTATCTCTGTCGTCCTCTACAGACTGACTGGCACACGTGAAAGCGAGATCGGAGAGGAGCAGGCCGGGTTTCGTCAAAATCGAGGCTGCATTGACCACATCGTCACACCACGCCAATTGTCGGAACGCCGCTATATCTATTGGTGACCAACGGTAGTCATATTCCAGAACATAAAACGGGCCTTCGATTCGGTTGATCAATGTGACCTTTGGGACTATCTACTGAAGATGTGCCTGAGAAATATGTAAATTGCATAAGAGCGCTGTACGCGCATAGTTCGGGAAGAGTGATGATTTACGGCAAACTTTCGCCACCCTTCAATATCTCCAGCGGTGTGAAATAAGGTTGCTTGCTGTCACCTATCCTCTCTAACTTCGCCATTGACGAAGTCATGGAACCTGCGTTCGCTGAGCATGATTTCAAGGTTTGGAGCTGCTCCCAAATGACCGACTTCTTGACTTGGAGTATGCCGAGGACGTTGCCATCAATCGTGACAGCTCCCGAACGTGCCGAGTTGCACTGGATAACTTAGCTCTGGCTGTCAGTCGTTTCAAGCTATGCTTTGCACCGTCGAAGTGGAAAGTTCTTCCCCAAGATTGGCAGGGACCCACTCCTGCGCTGACACTTGGCGGTCATTAGCTAGAAGTCATTCAGAAATGTATCTGGGCAGCTATATTAGAACGACCTGTGGCTGGCAACAGTGACAGGTAAATCCGAAACCGGATGCCGCCAACTATGTTAGAGCCCTCGGGAATGAAGACGAGGTCACCGTATAGCGGAAGCTAGAGCCGCTTTTGTCAATCTCCACCCACTGTGGTGCCAGCGTGACATCAAGCTCGCTCAGAAAGGCTGAGTTTAAAATGCAGCTGTCGGTTAAACCCGCCTGTATGCTTGTGAAACCTGGCCCATCAAGCTTCGATAGAAAAAAACAATCACAAAGCTACTACGCTGGCTGAAGCAAGAGAATGCGATTGACTCAGTAGTTTTCGAGTAGACGTGTCCCTCCGGGACAGTGATTCCACGTCTTTATGGCTTACCGAAAGTGCATAAAGTACCACTTCCATTGAGGCCAATAGTAGACATGTGTGATTCTCCATATCACTCAGCAGTGAAATGGCTTGCTAAGCTTCCAGAACCGAGCAGAAAAGTCCTATCCAAACACAGCTTCAGAGATACATTCAGCCTCATAGACTCCATAAGCCAAATGCAGTTAACCGGAAAGAAAATGTTTTCTCTAGATGTAGTGTTGCTTTTCACCAATGTTCCGCTGGAGGAGAGGATAGACTACCTATGCGACGCTGTTCGATTGCATCATGTGTATGACGGCCTCTCAAACGAGCGACTTCAACAGTTGCTTCTGATGTGTAGCATGAAAGTACAATTCCTGTTCGACGGGAAGATCTATAGACAGAAGAACCGAATCGCAATGGGCTCCCCGTTAGGATCATTGTTAGCAGACGTATTTATGAGTAAGTTAGAGAACAACTTTCTAACCGAAGTTATCGACAAATTAGTATACTACGGACGGTATGTGGACGATATATTCTGTATCTCAGATAGTCATCTCTGCACGGAAGAATTAGTGAGGCAATTCAACTCAGCCCACGCAAACATAAAATTCACCCTTGAATCTGAGTGCAACAACTCAATGTCGTACTTAGACGTCCAGATTAGTCGAAGATCTGACGGGTCTATCCAGCGCAGTGTCCATAGAAAGACAACGTGGAACGGGCAATATACTCACTTTGCCAATTTCGTTCCGCCCAGCCAAAAACGGAAACTTGTTCGGTGCCTAACCGAGCGAGCAAGTAGGATATATAGTGAGGACATACTTTCGGACGAGCTAAACTTTGTACGAAGCCTATTCGATAGAAATGGCTATCCGGAGAGGTTCGTTCGGAAAAACATGAAGGCACGGGAAGCGAAAGCGAAAGTGGATTCAGTAGGAAAGAAACCGATCTACTTATCGTTACCGTTCAAGGGGGACGGGATAGCTGAATCAACGTCTAGAAGGCTTTCTGACGCCATCGTTCAAACGTACTATGCAGCAAGCCTACGGCTAAGCTTCTTCGCAGTGCCGACCCTGAATCAACAACTTAAGGACAGAATTTCAAGGCCAAGTACTTCATTCTGTGTATACTCTTTCTCTTGCTTGTGTCGATCAAGATATCTCGGAAGAACTACCAGGAGACTGTCCGAGAGAGCTAGGGAACACTGTCCAGCTTGGCTGTATAGCGGCGTGACTAGATCAGTGGCAAGCGTAGTGTCTACACACCTGATCGACTCGAGCCACCAGGTCAGAGCGCATGAGGCGTTCCAACCCATCTACCGCGTACCCAGATGCCACACAAGAGGGGTTAGATGTCGTCTATCGGCAGCGGCCGAGGCAATAGCCATCAGGCTTCATGACCCTGACCTATGTGCGCACAAGAAATTTGTCCAGGCACAAACTCTACCATGGTCCCCTGTAACACGGACACAGTGAGGACAACGCCACACACACACACACACTGTTGATCGCCGTGGGGCCAATCACCTAGCTTGGTCATTCAGACCATCTGAGTTTTGAACTTGTACCCTTATCTGATGTTTACGTTCATGTCATTCATTTGTAGTGCATTAGCCTGATGAGGAACCACTGAAAACGACCTTGCTCGCTAACATTTGTTCTGAAACGAACGAAGCCAAGCTAACCGAAGTGTAAACCAAACGAAGCTCCTTAGGAGTTCGTTGAAAACTCGCGCCCACTCTTGAGAATACAGTAAAGCGTCTCTGTACGTCGATTATTTCCCACTCCATACAGATACCAACTGGTTGAAATTCGTCAGTATAGATGGTGTTAGGTCCCAGTATAAAAACGTACATGTTGACAGGCGCATTTTCGCAAGTTGGACTGCTGATAGTGACGGTAAAGAGTTCTTTAAGTGTATGTATCACAGCCCCCAATGCTGGCAGAATGTGTAATTTTATAAATTCGTTCTTTTTAACTAATCTTTGTTTTTTGTAGGATATCAAAGCTCCAAAAAAGTACTGATGCGATGGTGCTGAGGGTAGTGATAATAACCTGAGCTTATGAACGACCAGCACACTCAGTCAAGGATGTCGTGTGAACCTAAGTCCGAATCCAGTATGTACACGAATAGCTCCGGCGTATTTCAGCACAAGTTTTTCAATAATGCCAATAGAAGTACATTAGTTAACTTACCTATGCTTACTCCAACATGCGAACCAGCAAAATTGCAGTTAGTTCGCGAAACAGCGCCCATACGAATTTGATCGAAAGCTCGAGTCATAAAAGCGGCAAAAGTGCTCACAAAAGGCACAGTCCGTTGGCGTACTGCACAACCAATTGCGACTCCGACCATATTTTGCTCAGCAATGAAGCATTCGATGAACTGATTTGGTTTCAAGTCCCGGAGTTTCAGGCTGAAAGTGGAGTTTTTTGTATCACCATCCAACCCGATAACGCGATCGCAAGCTTGACCAAGACGTGCCAGCGCATTCCCATAAGCCAAGCGTGTAGCAATCTGTGATGTGGGAACGTCCCAATAGTGTATCAGAAATAGCTGAACCACCAAAATACACAGCTCGTAACCTGATCGACGAAAATCCAACATAAATGATCGCCAAATGATAAATAACAACAAACACTGAAGCGTTAGTTGTAGCTAGGATTTCAAGGAATGTTCTAGTGCCGAAATTGGATGAGAAGATTTAAACATGAAAATCCTCAGCTGGAGAAGTACGCAGCACACACATGACTAGTATGGCCGCCTAAAACACAAAATTTTAGGTAAGACAAACACATCAGTTGCGACCGAGGCATGACCGACTAATCGTGAAAAAAGTACTCTAATACGTAGGGTAACAGGTCGAGAGAAGCAGTAATGCTGCCGCCTGCAGATTTCACGACTGATAAATTCCAGAGCACATAATACGTTGGCTACACAGGGGTAAAAAGGCACATTGCTCACTGATAGCATAAAATGCAAGTAACATGAGGGTACGTACTTGATCGCCAGGTTTGTAGGACGGAGGTGAGGGCAAGCTGATAGAGCCAAGCAATTTAATCGGGACACAGTCGTCCAGTGGTGCGGCAGGTTTCAACCTTCCTAGAGAGGAACCGACATCACCTGAAGCCCCGACAGATAGAGTTGACTCTAAATGTTTTATGATTTCCGCAGTTTTTTCTCCCAACGGTTTTCCATGCCAATTTTCCTCGTTTAGGATTCCAGGGAATTTGGCACCCTTGATAGTTTTACATATGAGGGCGACGGGTTTGTCCTTGATTGTACGGGCTTCTGCAAAAGCTGCTAGCAGCTCTTTGACACTGTGCCCGTCCACTACAATCGCGTGCCATCTGTATTATAGGCATAGAAGAGCAGTTGGAATTGGTACAAAACACACAGCATGGCAAGCAGATCAGTGAGGCAAATATGACTTAAGCACAAAGCGCGACTGATTATGTTACCAGAAACGAAGTTACCGCAAGTATACGTGTGGTTACAACGGAAAAAATGAAGACAAAAATCACGCAAACAAACATAACGGCAACACTGGAAAGAGTGATAGCCAAGTGAGGAAGCAAGTGGACAGGAGTAATGGACCGAGTGCAAGTATCGTTGGCTTTGCTTAGTACTTTACACCTTATCAATTCGAAGCAGATACAGAAGCGCATAAAGCCCCCCTTGTGTAAATGATAGTGCACTCTCTCTAAACAAATGTATTATCGGCACACTTCAAGTAGCAGACAGAATTTCAAGTTGTGGTGTAAGAGATAGTGAGTAAAGCATGACCATTCCTATCAAAATGCGAAAGGCGGAACAAGGGACAGCGTGGTCCTAACGTGTTGTAGTGAACTCAGCAAACGGCCTCCTACTGACCCAGGAGTCGCAGTCTAAGCATTAGACAAAAGGAGGCAATTTCACCAAAAATAGCTGCCAATGGTAGACAGCGCAAAACGCAAGCGCGATCATAGGGCTGCAATGAAGGTCTTCAAGTCAGAGATCGACATGGTGAGCGGTTGGCAGAAATGGTGCTGTGCAAAGCGCAGATGGATATGTAATGTACTCTCGATCATAAGGGAGGCCAACCTGATTCCATCCGGTGCCATTTCAGAGAACAAGTGTGCCGCTGCAGTACGATATTTGTCAGACGCTAACCGGCAACAAATCTGAGTAAGTGTGCCGCGCTGTTATTTTCAAGCTGGCTTTCGTAAGGCCGTCTCACTATGCAAAGTAGTATCGAATGAAGCAGTTGTGTGAATCTATAGGGGAAGGATGAAGGCCAACTAGATCATGTGCATAGTACTTCTGTTATGGGGACCCAACATCCCCACAATGGTCACAAGCTTAAACCACGGAAAGCAATGGGACTCGATTCAGACAAGTGCACACGTTTCGATCAGCCTTCCAACTCGTGAGACATTCAAGTTTCTAGTGGTCTTTGTACCTCAGAAAACATTCCTGTTTCCGGCCAGACCAGTTGGAGTCGCATTCTAAGCTCTCGGTCCAATATAAAAATGGACGAGTCTGGGAGTGGATCCACTTTCGAGAACACCCGGATACATTGGAACGCTGTTCAAAACGGAACCCAGTGGCGACACATCATTTCATCAGTGACAACGTTAACTTGAGGTGGAAAACACCTCTGCTATTGCGCCGCAGTGCACAATAAAAAGACATGCGACAGAGGCACGTCAGCTGAACAAGCAGTAACGGATAGGCACCGTTCCGGAGAGCCAATAGTAGGCCATTGTATCGCAAAAAAGAGCAACATTATTCCTAGGAAGTGAGATCGTACTTGGAGGGGGAGGAACAATGAAACTCACAAAACAAACGCCAATGAGGTCGGTTACTAGTTATCTCAATAAGTGTACCCAGTCAAACGTGTTCATCGTCTTTCGGACCCCAACCAGGGATCATAGAGGCTCCAACCGAGACTAAATTCGGACTAAGGGCTTTCTATATTCTTAACCAAGTCAACGCTTGGTCATACCTCTTCCATCTACACGCTCGGAGCGCAAACAACGCAAGTTGCGGCAGGCGGTGAGCTGGCATGCGCAACATGTCGCCCAAGCATAGGAGCCTGTCGCGTGACATAACGGTGCTGAGCACCGGCGGCGTCAATGCTGTTCAATCGTTTCTTTATTATATCATATGCAATTTCAAACAAAAGACAGCAGAAAACTCAAGACAGCATGCGAAAGAGTAAAAGAGAACTATTTACTCTACGTTTTGATAGTGCACTATCTGCACAAAAACTGGTGAATATATATAGTATAATACTGGAGAAATTCGTGAGCTGCTATACAAGTTACCATCGGTTATACACAACAATAATTCAAAACAGCGATAAGACCGGGGTGAAGCAAATAGAGGACAGCGGATGAAACATCACGGCACATTCCCCGGGCAGTTTTTGAATCCGTATTCAGAAGGAGTGAGAACGACAATCGGTTACTACTGATCCCAGTAAGGGCCTTGATTAGCGTCAACTCTACCGATCACTCTTGAAGTCCCTGACCAGATGTAGACTAGAATTGCGAAAATGCCGAAGTTGATCACTTTTCGTGCCTTAATCAAACCAGCCACTCAGCTACTCGAACACTGTGGTAGATAGATAAATGGCCACCAAAGCCTTCTTGATATCATGCAGTGCCAGTGTTAGTCACTATCCGGTTAGTTCGCTTCCCATGTCAGCAGCAGCTGCCGACCCAAGCGGCACTGGCAAGGCTGTCTGCTGGATTGTGAGTCCACGCGGCGAATAAGTAATGCCGAAGCTAGGAGGATCGTCTGAGTAGGAGGACTGAACACCGCACTGGAGAGCACTGAGGTATTACTGGGATCTTGTTATGTATTTCTGTATTAGCAACTGTCTAACGAATGGACATAGAGCCAAACAAAATGACGAAACCACTAAAAAGCGGTTCAACCACCGTATCATGAGTATGGCACGTTAGCTAAAGATGAGCAACACACTTCAGTGGTTGTGCCGCAACAAAAAAGGGAACAATCTTTATTTCACATACGCCATTTATTTGTGTCTGTTTCAACTGTTAAGCAATAACCATCTGAACCTAAGCAATTATGTACAAAGATCTTCCACTGGTTTTCATTACGCGTCATATCCTTAATTTGCTCCAGGCACCTGCACTTCTAGTCCTTTGTTCCCCAACCAGGCAGACGTATGGATACAAAGGCAGTAATACAGGAAGTCAACGATTTCATGTGCTATCGCTAGATGGACCACTGTGTGGTATCTTCCAGCCATGTCCAGCACGAGCGAAAAGGGCGCAATGGGATAAACGCTCAGCTGACACGCAGGATATGACCGAGCCATGTGAAATGACGCAGAGAAACCAGCTGGTTGTAGGGAATACTCGCATTTCACCGTTGTAAATACGTTGTTACCAACATACACGAGCAATCCTTCTCAAGTGCCCATTATCGAAGGCCTGGAGCCGGCCCATGTCATCCACGTAAAGTGGCAACGACTCGCTTCACTATGGCAACACCGCCCAACGGCGATGTTGTAAACATGACGCTTTACCAAGAGGGAGACATTTCGATGGTATCACAAGTGTTGCAGGTTGACAATCGCCCACAGAACTTTGGCAATGTGGAGAAAATTTGCCTTGCTGATAGCGCCACTAGCAGACGCGCAACTGCAGAGGTATAAAAAAGCCATCGAGTGAGCACAGGAACAGTTCAGCTCAGTTCAGTTGAATACCTATAATCCGAGCACTGTAGTGCGGTGGATCCAGTTGCTAAGACTCAGATCGCAAGAATAACAACAAATAAGCACAGCAAAACAGTGGAGGTAAAGGCAAACAGGGTGTAAAGAAAGTGGAAGCAAGAAGGAATTGCGTTAAGCCAATTGGAATGGAACAAAAATGGACAACCAGATGCAGGAACGCCACTGACTGCGTGAGTATGCTATGTCTGATGTGACCTCAAACTATTGGTGCAAACCATCCCGTGGCCCCCATCAAGGAAGACGACGCGCACTAGCCTGACCAAGTCACCCAGTAAATTTCTTCATGTCACTATGCCACGTCATGGACTGACCACCTCGCGGTTCCACCCAACTTGGTGCAGCCAAAGCGTATAATGCACGTCGAGGAAGCCGATCAACGACCATACGGAGGATGCGACCTAGCCAACGTAAGCGATTAAGATTCCGCAAACACTCCAATGAGGCACCAGAAGGCTTCTTGCCAAAAACCAACTGTCGGACCTCAGTATTGCTCACCCGGTGTTCCCGCAAGACGTAAACGATACTCTGCAAGCACCGGCGATCAAACACCGTCAAGCGTTGAATGTCTTCGCCGCGAACTGGCCAGGTCTCTGATACACACAGTAAGACCCGCCTTACCGCAGCGTTATACACCCTACCTTTCATTGACAGGCTGATATCCCGCCGTCTCCATAGATGGTTGAGTCTCTGGAAGGCCACACGGGTCTTGATGATACGCGAAGTAACTTCCTCAATGAGGTGACCACAAGGGGTGACACAGCTACCAAGGTAAGTGAACCGATCCACCAGTTCCAGTGGTTGGTGATAGCTAGAACCGGATGTGTGTCGGTCCAGTCCTGAAGCAGCACTATGCATCTTGAAGGTGCAAAGCACATGCCGAAGCGTGCGGCGCTACGTGTCAGTTTATCCAGCAGTGCATACATAGCCATTGCGTCGGAACCGAAAAGAGATATGTCGTCCTGGTAGAATTTCCACTCCGGTAGTCTGAACCGGTAGTCTGACCATTTTGATAACAAAGTGAAAAGTGAAAGGAGACGTGGGACAACTCTGGAGAACAACACTTGTCGTGGGGAATTCAGGAGACAGTTTCCCGTAGACACTTATTTGGCCTTGGGAGTCACGGTAGAGAGACTTAAGAATGGAAAGGAATCTAACCGGCACTACCTTCATGGATAGGCAGTGCCACAAGCTGACGAGGTCAACAGAGTCGAACGCAGCTTTCTAGTCAATGAAAAGCACCATTGTCGGTCGACTGTATGTCTCGGCATCAACACGTGGCGAAGAGTAAATACGCGGTCAATACAACCACGTCCAGGGCGGAAATCAGCCTGATCTTCAGTGAATCGGTTCTCACGCGCTAGTAAGACAACGGAGAATGATACAAATAAGGGGGTTGGATGCAATGGAAACAAGGCTGATGCCTTGGTAACACGAAATACCCTGAAGATGGGCATGACAGCTGACAGTCGTCAGTCTGAAAGAACCCCTTCACTGTTCCAAATCGTGTTAAATAGAGTAGCGAGTCCAGTCAACAAAGGGTCACTACGATCTTTCAGCAAAAATGGAGGAAGGTCGTCGGGTCCAGGAGTCTTGATTCGTTTC